AACCTATGCTTTTTAACTATAAGCATTCTGAGCCAGACTGTGTATATGCGGGTGTGTGTGATAAAATACACATTAACGTGAATCTACCTTTGTAACCATTTCAGAGTATACAACTCAAGTGTTCCTCAGCATTTTCACAATACTGGATAACCATCACCACTAACTAGTTCCAGGATTTTTCCAGGATTTGGGAGGCGACCAGGGCACAGGACATACCACTTAGGGTATTCCCGATTTCCCCTGCATTTAAAATAAAGAGATAAAAAATACATTGAGAATGTGGCATGCTGATTTCTGTCTGAGATTCTAGGTCTGGCAGCTGAGTAGCGATGACCTCACAGTGCATTCCCTGAGGTCGTCTGGGCTGCAGCATGAGACCCCAGTGCCAGCCAGGGCAGCCCCCACCTCACTCCCATGCTCAGCAGAGCCCACAGGATGACTCCAACTTTCTTTAACCCATTTCCGGCTTTGTTCCTCAAGGCCTTGGCTGAAGACTATGGCCTGGGAAGCTCTCCCCTCCACACACCATCTCCCTATTTTTAAACACCTTTCTTCCCTTGAAGGCCTATAAGTAAAGTGAGAACAGGACTCCATCCCCTTGGGCACCGGTGGGGAGGGGGTAGTAGCAGCATCTCCTGGGAGCCGGAACTGGGAGGACTCTCATCATGACTTAGCAGTTCCCGAGATCCCAGGTATACACCCTGGAGAAACACGTGTTCCAAGAAACAGCTATGAGAATGCCTAGAGTAAAAATAGCAAAACACTGGGAACAGCCAAAATTTCCATCAACAAAATTGATAATAGAGTAGGATAGGAATAGAGTGGGATTAGCCTAAACTTCCCAAAACAAACCACAGGAAATGTAACCCCACTGACAGAAGAGTTCATAAACACTGTAAAGAACATGTAAACAATGGAACAGTAAACAAAATTTTCTGGGGAGGAGAGGTGAACGATGGGAGCAAGGAGGTAGACACAGGGGGCCAACCTTAAGCAAGGTGCTGGGCACACAGGTAT